GCTTTATTTAAAAAAAAACAACTTCCATTACCATTTGAGGGGAACATCACGGTTGCTGTTTGGCTGTTTTGAGTCCACCCTCACCCAACCCTATAGCCAAACATTTGAGGTTTTGATACAGTTGCTGGCAGTCCTTATCAATATATCCCTATAGTCACTTAGTCACTGTATCCAGGGCTAATATTAAGTCAGTCTGAAAAAATGCTTCTTTCTGGATTTAAAATGTCCCTTAAAAGGCCTGAATATTATCGTTTTTATGTAATGTGTATATTGTACCAAAAATAATATGTTTATCTTTGTAAAACCAACTCTGTATCATATGAGTTTTACTTTTTGAAGTGGCGTTTAAGTTTACATTGAGTTAATGTCCTAAGTATTTTTTTCTGCAAATACTTTACGTGAGTTATTATAGTAATAATAATGAAGATGATTTATATCAAAATCAATTTGCTGTTGATTAAGTTGGATCTGGGAAATGAAACACTGAAGGTGCAGTGTCATCTATTTTACCTTTGGGTTTCTCCTCCACCAGAAGGCAAGCCACACTCTTCTCCTCACCAATGACAAAGGCAACATCCCCTGATTCATCTGTGGTTACCATCTTCAAAGTCAGTCGCTGAGTTCTACCCTGAACACTCATTTGATTGAGATCGTTATTTTGAAGGAGGTTGTCTCCAAGCCACCATTCCCCGTTAGTCACACCTGAGTGTGACAGCTCGACTTCAAAGATGGCGTCCTGGCCAGTGGTCACCGTGACATCGAGGAGCTCACGGACAATGCGGACATTCTCTGAGTGAATGTGAAGTAAAAAGTAAGATGATGAAAGTTTTTTTTTCATTCTCAACAACCAAATTTAATTAAATCATCTTTCCCAAGTCAAGACTAAGGAGAATGAATGAATGAATGAATGAATGAATGAATGAATGAATGAATGAATGAATGAATGACTACGTCTGTCCGTCTGTCCGTCTGTCCGTCTGTCTGTCTGTCAAAGGTACAGGCATTCATCATCATAGCCACGTGTTTGGTTGTAAATACAACTCAGATAGACATAAGTCTTTGTAGTAAGTCATCATGTCCTCCGTCACCTCAGCAGCGCCGCCTTCTGGCATCACTAAGTCAATGCCTTGAAGCAAGCATAAACTAACTTAAAGGGGAACATAGTTTTTTTTTTTTTTTACATTGGCCCCTTGATTTTACGTTATTCATGTTTACATGTTATAAATGCTGGCGTACCATAAAGAATATATTATGAACAGTTTAGTTTGTGCTTTCAACTCTTTGCCTATAGGAAGATGTTACTTGGATATAACCTTACGGAATATCTTCAGAACAGCTCCAAATGACACACAACTCATATGGGTGAGTAGAACATGATGTAATAACTTAAAATCAAGGGCCAAATGTAAAAAAAAATGGTCTTCCCCTTTAAGCTTAGAATAACTAGGCTTGACCCGCTGGGCTTTCCTTACAAAGCTTTCTTCAACTTCTGATCACTAGGGGCGTGAAAAATCTAACAACTCAAAATATCTTTGTGCCCTAACTACCAGAGTTAGTCTGCTCACTTTCCATGCTTTGATATGCACCACATGTTTAATGTGTAATGGCTTCTATGTACATACTAATATGAAACTGTGTAAAATACCAGAGCATAGCATTAAAAAATCTGATTGTGTCATAGACTGTTGAAACTCATAGACTGTGTATATAGCTGTGATGTGGCAAGTATTAATGTCTTACCACAGTATAATAATACATTTATTTTAAACCCAATGGAAATTGTCCTATCGGCTCCAAAGTTGACAAGTTTTATATCACTCAGGTTATTACTAAATTACTATATAAAAGTAGATCAGCATAAATTAAAAACACCCCTAAAGCATGTAAGCCTATTGGTGAGCCTAGGCCATGCTTAGAAAATGTTTAGATTTACTTTTCTTTATCATAAATACCGGTAAAGCAGAAACTGTGTGGCCTTTACACAGGAAACAAAGGTTTGCATTAAGACCTAATAACTGTGAAAGTGATTTAATTTTGTTAACGTTTAGACAGAAATTAATCTAAAAACTTAAACCTTATGATGTTAAAACCTTCATCAGCATCCCTAAACCAGCTGTAACTCCCAGGGTTAGATGTTTGTTTTTTTTCTGATAAAAAGAACATGGTAGGTCGATAAAGAAGCAGTTACCTTTTACAGTTAGTGTGGCGCTGCTTTTCGTTTCTCCTGTATCACAGGTATATTCACCACTATCTTCCTTGACCAGCTTGTGTATCACCAGGCTGTGAATGGTAGCTCTCTGCTGAATGGTGTACTTCTCCCCCTGAGAGAGGACAGTTGAGCCTTTCCGCCATGTCACCTTACAGTCAGGACTGGATGTCTCACATGACAGAGTGGTCTCTTCTCCCTCTTTGGTCTCTCGGTTTTCCAGTTTCTTTTTAAAGAATATTGGTGCCGCTGCCAGAAGGAAAAGCCAAAGAAGAAGAGTATAATAAGGATTGGGGGTTATAGGTTAGAAGGCAAACATGGCTTCCATCACACATTGTAAACACATAAGACATTACAGCACAAAAAAACATACAACATGCATAACCTACAGCTTGAAAGACTTTACATCATAAAAAACATAAAAAAGATTAAGTGATTTCCTTATCAGAAAATATACCTAGTTTATTATGAAGGTGTGATAATGAACACAATTATCATACAGTTTTTTTTAATTAAAGCATTCCAAAATTATGTTATGATGTCAAAACATTTTTTTGAAAGCTATATTTCACAGGAAACAGAAAAAATATTAGAAAATTGACATATAGTCAACTTAATTTCTACAGGTGTTCCTCAATAATTCGCTGAGGGACACTAGAGATACACTGACAAATCAGCTGGGGCAACGTTTCATGTATGGGACCTGACTGGTGATTGGCTAATCGGAAACTAAATCAGATCAGATCAGAGAATGCATCAAACATGCTGACAACAGCAATCTTCAGTTTGGAAATCACTGTAAGAATAAATTATAAAACAGTTAATCAGAAGTATCCTTCATGCAACAATATTGATTTTGAAAAGTTGCTAGAGCTCTAAAGACATGACACTATCTGTTATTATTGCTAACCTTGATAATAACGCTAAATGCTAATAGGAGATACTAAAAAAGTTTAAATATTCAACCCTTTATTCATCTTATCTCCATTTAGCTGTGTAACACTGATTAGTGTTACATGTTTTTCAAGATTTGCAAAAAATAAAGAAATCTATTCTTTTTTAGTTGTGTTTCATTTTTTCCATTTGCGCAGATTCCTCTCTTCTACATCCTAAAACTTTAGTGTATTTATAGATTTTCAGTGATTAGGTAAGATAGAGGGGGCTTGGGTCATTTTTGAGAGTTCATTGGTTTATTTCACAAAAATTAAATATTGTCTGTTTCATATTTCAACTGTCCAAACTTAATTTCGCCACAAAAGTTTCAGTTGGTACATCTCTGCTAATAAACTCAGTGTGAAACATCCTGATGGCAGAAGGTACAACAAAAACGTAAATGGCTTTTTTACACCAAAAAAAAAGGATTTTAATAAGAAAAGTAAAAAAACTGACTATAATCGAGAAAAAGAAAAATGTACTGATTAAATGCAGGTAAAATAAAATTTAATGATATACCTTGCAAAAAATATGGTTTGTTTTGTTGCAGTTTTAAAGGAGAGTGGTTCAAACTTGTTATATGCTTTGTAAATACCAGAAGGATCTATGTTAAAGTATGGCAATTTCACTAATGTGAAAAAGAATAGGTTATTAAAGAAAAAAGATGACAATAAGCTTTGAGAAGTTTAATATTAATATATCTACAATATCCCCAAAAGAGTAAAGCTGAAGGAAAAGGGAGAAAAGTCCATATGAGAACGTTGCTTTAAATGGTTTAAAACTACCTCCACCTCTCTTACCTCTGACTGTGAGAGAAGCAGTGGAGGTGTGGTTTCCCACAGTGAAAGTGACTGTTCCAGAGTCGACCGCTGTGACGCCTCTGAGTGTGAGGCTGTGCACTCGGCCCTCAGACTTTATGAGATTCATTTCGTTATTTTGCAGCGGGACTCCGTTGAGTTTCCACTGGATCTGTGGAGTTTCCGCGTGAGAAAGCTGACACTGGAAGTGGACATCTTCCCCCTCATTAACAACGCAGCTGTCCAAGAACTTCACGATGAGAATGTCAATGGCTGCAGAGACATGGCAGCAGCACAGATATTGAAAAGCTGAAGCTCTGCAGATTGTAATGAAAATAGTCTAAAGGTTTCTGCTGGGATGTTAGTGTGACCACCAAGTGTAAAAAGCAAGAAGGTTTGTGTGGTTAATGCTTAGGAAGGATAGGAAACAAGAAAAAGTGATGAGATATGCTAAGTGCTCAAGCTCAATATCATATTGCGTACATAGCTGTAGGAGTAAGGAAATGTGAAAAAAAAATATATAAATTTTTAAAAGACAAAGGTTGAAAGAGGGGATTTCAGTTGGATGTTTTAAGATCATTTCTAATCTCTTCATGCTCAAGTGTTTTTCACTGAGAAAATGGCAAACAAGAAAAGGTGAGATGGGATGTAAGAGATGATGTCCATATGATGCAGGAAAAGAAATCCTACCATTCACACAAAGGATCGCTGAAGTCTTCTGGAAGCCTGTATCACAGGAGTACTCTCCTGCATCGCTTCCCTGAAGTTTATAGATAACAAGTTCTACCATAGTCCCATCCTGCTTTAGCTGATATTTGTGACTTGCTGTCAGCATCGTGTCACCACACCTCCATATCACACTAGCTCCTGGTTTGGTGATCTCACAACAAAAGCTAACAGACTCTCCTTCCTGCCTTTCAAGGTTTTGAAGCTTAGTTTTGAAAAGGACAGGTTTGGCTGTGGGAAATGGAAAACATTAATCTAAGTTTAGGAGAATTCTTTAACTCTCTTTGAACATATTTTTCATTTGTTTATATATGAGACAAATGAACAAAGTAGTTTTTCATTGTGATCTGGAAAGAAACAAATGGGTATTTTCCTCAGGTCAAAAATAACTATCATTGCTCTGGGAAAATTTGCCATAGATGATGAAAAACTAACACTAAAGATCACATTTAAGATAACAATCACATATTTAAACATGGTAGTGGCAATATTATGCTCTGGGGAGTCAATATCACTGAGCAGGGTATATTTTGCAAAGACAAATGAACAAAATTTCAGTCTCTGAATGTGCAAAAGCTGGTGGAGACATAACTTAAAAATATTTTCAGACATTGCTTTAGCAAAAGGGATGCTGTATGCCACACATGTCAGGTGCTCATTTGTAAAGAATTTAAAATAAGAATGAATCGCTTTAGAAACAGTACTCCTTCGTTTTTTGTCTCCCACAGTGGTATGCAGCCTGGTGCTCCTAGTGACTTAAATTGTAGAAAACTGGATAGTATATATTTTTCTTCATTCTAAATATAATAAAAAATGAAAGTGTAATAAATGGGTGTTTTTTCTATTAGTTTAACTGCAATAGCTGCATAGTTTTCACTTTTTTTGGCATTAGGCAACACACTTTACATGTTTTGTCTTTAAGATCTGTCAAATTTGAAAAATTGTGATTCTGTATCATAAAACTGGTAATTTCAATAGAATACAAGGACCATGTGGATTTTACAGCTAAAGGAAAAAAACAATAACAGCAATAATGGTTGTTTTGACTGTTAGGACTGCTGCTCCATCACATGAAATGATGCTAATACTTTTTCAATGCACTTAAAAACTTGAAAAAGTAAGCAGTACCAGAGAAAATGTGACACAAAAAGTCCCAATTTTGATTTAAATCTTTTTTGATTCTATCATGAAAAGACAACAGCAGATTCCACTAAAATATTTTAGCCACAAAGAGAAGGTTATAGTAAGCGTACCCTTCACATCTAGCTTTGCAGTGCTTTGACTTTCACCAGTGTCACAAGTGTAACTTCCAGAGTCCTCTGGTTCAACATTATGGATTATTAGCATAGCCATGTTCTCCGTTTGTTTAATTTCATATTTGCCACAAGGACAAAGGCCAAGTTCTCCTTTTTTCCACTCCAAAGAAACTCCCAATTTGGAAAGCTCACAGTAAAAGGTGACACTCTGACCCTCTTCCACAATTTGGCTTTCCAGATGCCTTGTGAAAATAACTGGGGAGGCTGAAGAACAACAAGACATTAATTATTTAGAAAGTAAAGAACAAATGATGAGGTATAGTGATGGAAAGATGAATAAATATGAATGTGAAATGAAAGACTTGAAGGGCATGCAAAAATAGATTCCTGTGTCTCGAAAAAGTCAAATTAAAGATTTGTAGTTTGTAACTTAATCCAGTTTGCCTGATCTGGTACTTTTTTCCACAACTCAGTATTTTAGTTCCTTTCTTCCAGATTTGGAAAGTCCACACTGCAGAATGACACTCGCTTCCTGCTCTGATGCTTTGCTTTCCAGGCACACGATAGGAATAACTGTGTGTCAATAATTAAAAGAAAGGACTGAGTTTCACTTTCTAATAAAATTTTGCATATCTTATATAATTACCAAGACAAAGAGGTCTGTAATGCTAGCTGCTCCATCAAGATCTCAATTTGCCTTCTTGAAAACAAGAAAATAAAGAAATTAGCACATAGATATATGCAAATTCAACACAATGATGAGAAAGAAACAATGGACATACTCTTTGGGAAATATCCTAGAGTCATGATTATAGGCCTTAAATCAGGAAGACAATGCCCATTCAGACCACTAAATGTCAGCAATGCACATTTTATGATGCAAATGTTCCCACTTAAATAACGGTAAAATTAGCTACAGAGAGAAAAATCATACCTGAGGGGAACTTTTAGTATAATCTGAGCATGAATCTAGTTGTTCTTTGAAGGTGTTCTAGATTTGTGAGATGAAATTTGTGAAAAAGTTTCATGAATAAAACCATGCGATACAAGAGGAAGGTTTGGATACAGCTGTGGGGAGGTATAAAACATGGATCTTTGGATCTCTAACAGAGCACTGTTACATTTATTATCTAACCATAAACGAGAGTATGGCACTAATTCCACAAATAAAAAGAGTAAAAAATGTATGCAGAAAGGTGTTTCCTAAAGTGCAATCAGTGACTCTGGGTTTTATTGGGGGTCATCAAAGTGAGGAGGATGAATCCAAATATGCCACAGCTTAAAAGTTTTCACTTGTTGAAAACTATTAATCCTGAATCATCTTTTCCATTTTACCCTAGTTTGTGTTTTTCCCTTAACATAACATGATTTACTTAATTGATGCAGCTGTGGAAAAGATTAACAGCTTTTTATATTTTTTCAGCTTGTGATGAATTTATTGAAAATTTTAAAGAGAAATTAAAGACAATGCCTTTAACGCAAAAGGAATTTTAAATATATTTAACTTAAAAGGCCAAAAAATAAGGTATTTTTCAACAATAATTGTAACTTTAGATGCATTACTAAATAAATACACAATTTGAAAAAGAATATCAACTATAGTCAGCATAATACTAAGAGAACTCTAAGTGGAGTTAGTTGCTACATTATTTTTTTGGTATATACACATTTTTTTTTATTTTTGTTGAAGCTTCCTTGAAGCTACAAGAATCAAACTAAAGCCAAAGCCAAACCTGTATTATATATACGGTATATATGGATAAAACAAAAAGGGGGGCTGCAGCATAAAAATTTGAACAGCCTTTATGTGAAAAAACACAGACATAAATGCGGCGGCAAAGTATGGTGTCCAGACATTAGTGAGGAGGCAGGAGCTATCTTGTGTTTGTATTTAGGTCCCCTCAATCTGACCTGTTTGTTTACCAGGGGTTCAAGAAACAGTCTTTAAGCCACAACTATTCATCCTCTCATTGCTCCAAATACAATTTCAGGATAAAGCAAGGCAACGTCATGCAGTCAAGAAAAATAGAAAGTTCAGCACCAACAGTTTAAAACTCTACCTTACTGATATTTCTAATTAACCTAATCTCCTCTTAAAACTACTTTCAATTCACACCATTCTGTTAGGATTAACCCGCATTATTCATGAAGAGTTTTGTTTTATCCTAAAACTACCTAAGTTTTTCAATATGTCAGATATGTATATTTCTCCATAAGTTATATATTTTTCTACCTAAAGTTTAATACAAGGTACTAGGGCTGCAAATAATGAGTATTTTGCTATTTGATTGATCAGTCGATATTTTTTTTCCCGATTAATCCATTAATAATCAGATAGCAAAAAATTCCTTAAAGAGTATTTTTTTACAGAATGAAACCTATTTCTGTACAAAGGTACATATAATTCACAAAAAAATAGTAGCTACATGAAGCATTCAAGGCTTCATGTCATGGGTGCGAATGCTTCATATCAATGATCAGCCTCCCATGCAAAAAGGAAAAGAACCTAGAGAGCTTGGAAACCTTCCAAAAAAGAAGTTCATGCCAGGTATTTGAAAGCGAACTATTCAAAAAGCACAATTAGCCTGGGAACAAGGCACCCTGTCAAACAGCCAGGTAGATGTTTAAATACTTGGAGCATTTCTAAAAAGACTCAACAAAAATGAGATGGGAAAAATCTTCAGAAATGCACCTTCTACAGTTTTATTTGTCTCCTGTTTCTTCTGCTTAATGCTTTTAACTTCATCCATCTTAACTAGAATACATGTACATGAGCCAAACTATAAAAGTCCCTTAAAAAAGCTGTTTTCAGACAGACACTTATGAGAAAAGAAAAGTCACAGTGTGACACAGCAGAAACGGCCATAATGTGAGAATGAAAGAAACCTTAAGATGATATCTGCGCTGCTGGTTTAAACAAAATAACCTGAATTCAGCTTTTATCATCTGCCTGCATGTGAAGCATGTAATGTCACAGCACGAGGACTTCAAATTGAAGATAAAATATATCAACACTAAGGACATATATTCATCTTACTCCATACCTGCATCTATCATAAAAGCACAGACAAGACTATGGCATAGTGGAAGACTCAACATAGCAACAGAGACAGAATTGCCCAACTGGGCGGAGCATAAAGAACCATATTGCTCTATCTACCTCTCCTTCCTACCTTTGGTTTTGTCTGTGGTCTCCTGCTTCTTGAGTTCTGTGTTAGTAGCTAAAGGAGGTGAAGACAGCTTTACAGCTGAGAGAGAATAAAGGCAAGCTCAGTGTGCCATATCACATCAGTTATATGACTACCTGAACTAAAAAAAAAAATCTGGTTAAAACAAAAGGCGCTTTGTTTGCTACTCAATGCAGAGCAATGTGACTGAGCAATCAGGGGTATCTTGTTGATTGAGCAAAGCTTAGAAAGGAGCGACAAAAAATAAGCTTTGCAACAACACCAAACAGCAAATAGCAAGAAAACAAGCAAGAAAGATGCATTCATAGTTTCTGAAATATATGAATAAAAAAAGGAATGCCACAAAAAAGATGCACGTTTCAGGCAAGTAAGACCTTGCATAAAGTCACAACGTGGAAGACACCAGACATGAATTAAAACAAAGATATTTACATGCATAAATCGAGCGGAACACTATGGTGAAAGCCGTACTGCTCCACTTGTGAAAGTAAAATCTGTTGGGCTTTTTTTGGCATTAAGACAATTGCTCTTATTGCCACATTGCCAGACAGACACAGAGAAAAAAAAATACATAAAACACCATAATAAAGCTCTGCACACAAAGACCCTTGAACAAGCTGTCAAATACTGATGAAATAACCCAAAATAAACATGAACATAAGAGCAGATTGCAAAAAGAAGCAAGACTACTGAATAAAAAGCCAGCAATTGTGCAAATCAAAAAATATTTTTACGGAAAATAATAAATACATTTTCTGTGTGATCAATACAGGTACTGAGAGAAACAAAAGCAATACATTGTATGGTTTTAAATATATAAATTTCCTACCCTTAATCTTCAGGCTGGCTGTGGTCTTCTGGTCTCCACACACACAGCTGTACTCTCCACTGTCTTCTGGCTCTACTTTGGTGATAATGAGTTCATTCACAGAGGCCTTCTGCTTCATCTGGTACTTCTCTCCAGACTTCAGGACCTGTGTTCCCTTCTTCCACTCCACAGGGACTCCAGGTTTGGAGAGCTCACAATGCAGAGAAACACTGGCTCCTTCTTCAGCCTCCTGGCTCTCCAACTTCTGCTTGAACGTCACTGGTTGTGCTGGATGGTTAATAAATGGTACTTAGTCAAATGTTTCCAAAAGCAAATAGTACAAATGCAAGCATAAAACACATCTAAACTGAATTACAAAACATAACATTAAGTATTTAAACACTGATGAAAGACAGAATCACTATAAAGACGCTTTAATTAATATATCAGCAATAAAAAAAAAACCCAAAAAAAACAATATAAACACCATATGGAGGACATTTTAAATAAACTCAGTACACAACAGCACAAAGAAAATGTATCATAACAAACACATCATGCAAAATTCACTTTATAAACATTTTGTAGCAGCCATGGGTGCTGAAGTCCATTTTATGAAATTCACAAAAGAAAAAAAAAATTAATTTCACCTCCACCATTGCTTAACTACACCTCTTAGCCAATGTCTGCATGAAACGCTCTGTTTGAAAATTATTGACCATTTGATGTCCAGTGTTGTATAGCAATGAAGTAACAATACTTAACTACTGTACATAAGTATATTTTAGAGTACTTTATACCTTCCTCAAGTATAACATTTTTGATAAATTTCACTTTTACTTCACTTTATTTCGGAACTTAATTGCATACTTTTACTCCAATACATTTTTAATGTTTGGTTTAGTTACTTTTTACAAAAAAAAAAGCAAGAGAGAGAGAAATGCATGTGTTTTGACACCACCTACTGACTGACTGCAACAAAGTCAGGACTTGCCTTGTCTTGTTCATCACCACCAATAGGATACACCTGTTTTGCTTCTCCCATTAAATACAAAGCC